TAAAGCGGATACATGCGATATTAATAAATATGCATGAGGTTACTCATGTAGTGTCGAAGTGTCATTAGAAGAAAGTCATTGAGACGCAAGCAATGCGTTGAGTGATCGATTTATTGTTTACTTTCTTCTCTGTTCTCATGACATAATGGAATAAAACGCAATACGCAAAATTCTCATTGAATGATTGAATATTCAACGTCATGGTTCATAGTAAATATTTATTATTGGTATATCATCATAAGGTCGTCAGTCCTAAAGCTAGCTGGACACCCACCTCCTCATCTTCGCATTTCCCTAAAACTATAACATCCTACACCTTAACTACCCGAGTAGAATTTATTTTGGGAATTCCCAAATTCCAATTGGGTTCCTATTGGAGATTGTTGGAATTTCCCAAATTGGGCATTTCCCACCTATACCCAATGAATTTTAATCTGCGTATTTTAGGGCAATCCCAAGCTTTGCCCAAACTGCACCTCCCAACTACAATCTTATCGAAGAGTAATTAATAATTATTTAATTTATCAATAATAAATAGCTATTTTATTCATTCTATCCTATGTTTTTATGTAACAGTTGGCCATTCATTGGAAAGTATTCATTGGGACCCAATTGGGATTTCCCTAACTATATCTTAGACTCATTTTATTGTAATCCAAGACATTTTGAAGTCCAAGTGGGGGTAGCGTGCGTTCGTGACCAGTATAACTACTAGTAGTTTACAAAACAGTTCGGTGATATCTTTTTTTTTCGTGTATCAACATCGATATTTTCAACAATTTATTTATGTAATATGCCAACAAATTCATCGCAAGAAAGACGTCGTGAACTTACACGTTTACGTGTCAAAAGATTTCTTGAAAAAGCTCGAGAATTATCTTTAATACATGGAGAAGAAAATTTGAGGTTAGACAATATTAAGTCATGAAAATGCTTGTGAGAATGGTAATAGTGACACAACGTTCAATAATTCAATTCCAGAAAGTGTTTCAAGTGAAAATCATGATACTATTTTATTCAACAATTTAAATGATTCTCATGATGATATTGAACAACAGCCTAGATTAGAAGAAAGAGTGAGTGACTCTCCAACGAACATAACCTAGCGGAAAATGCAGTTATTTAGGTAGTAGAAATTATACTTATACCATCATGTGATATACTACTTATATTATACTCATGATGATATTGAAGAGCAGCCTAGATTAGAAGAAAGAGTGAGTGACTCTCCAACGAACATAACCTAGCGGAAAATGCAGTTATTTAGTAAAAATTATACTTATACTATCATGTGATATACTACTCATATTATACTTGAAATATTTTACGTTANTGGGGAAGGCGTTACATTTCCAATAGGGAACCGGTTGGGTATCCCGTTTGGGACCCATTTCAATTGGGGAAAACCCAATCGGGACCCAATCGGTTCCCAAAAATAAATTCTACACGGGTATTTGTGAACGCTAGTGTAATCTAGATCTACCTCTACCCCTCTTTTTACCTTTCATATGTCTCTAACTAGCCCTTCATTCCTGAGAAGGTGTCCTACTAACCTTTTTCGCCTATTTTTTATTGACTTCCAAAGCCAGCGACCCCTCTTCCCCCTCTTCCTTTCTGTCACGCCCACCGGCCATGTTTCACACCCCGTACAACACCGTGCTCTGTACATACACATTCAACAATCGTTTTCGAAATTTTCAATTAACCGTTGGCGAGATAGAAATGACTTCTTTTTATTAATGGCGACTCGACCATGCGGTGTCTTCTTCTATTTTTTGTCTGCTAAGCTAATACTAACTTCTTGTTCCTGTATCTTCATTACCCTAAATTTGTCCTGCCTTTAATGATGTTTATCGCGTCTTCGATGCATAGATTGAAAGGTAGCAGTGATAGTGTGCACCCTTGGTTGATTACCTTCCCAATATTTTTCTTTTCTACGTTGCCGCTCAAGCTCTATAATCTATAAAAAAAACTTTTGTGTGATTCATTCCCACCAATCAGTAATGCTGGATTACGCCGGAGCGTATGGCAGAAGATCCTCTTAGCCTACTCTTAGGAATCGTGGAAATGGGTGGACGGTGGATTGGATGAGAATGATGAGACGGACGAAATGAAGACTGAAGAGAATGAAATATTATCTGTGGAATATTGCTGTCCCAGGACTGGATCAAGACAGACGGACCTGGAATCGAACCGACGCCCTCCCGAATGCTAATCAGTGGCCTAAATCTCTTTGGCCATGCCACTCGGTCTATAATCTATAACTGCTGCCTGTTGCTCTTTATACAAACTATGTATCAATCACTCTTCTATCTCTGTATCTCATCCCTACATTTTTAAGTATATTTAACATCTTGTCCCATTTAACTTTGTCAAATGCTTTTTCTAAATTTAGGAATCCTATGTACGCGCTCTTTCCATTTTCTATCGTCTTTATTTTTTTTTGGCATGACTCTTACTACATTTCGTTTATAGTCCTGCAGGACCTTCCTCGTCTAGTAAGTATATGTGGCTATCTAGCCAAAAAATATACAATCTCTAACCTATAACCTCTTGTCCTGCATGTTTTAAGATTTCTGTCTGTATTCGCTGTATACCAGGTGCTTGATCATTATTTAAGTTTTTAAAGCTGCATCAAACTATTCTCTCATTATGGGGTAACCTAGCTCACCTATTTCCAACTACAAAAACCCAATTGTTCGCCGCAGTAAGGTAGATTACAAGGTCCAAATGGTCATAGGGTTTTTACTTCTTTCGATTCACCCAATGAAATTTTAATTTTTTCGTCATAATCAAAAAGCAATTAACACTAAGTAGATTTTTCTTTATTAATTAAATTTTCAAATTAATGTATATCACCCACGTTATTATTTTTGTTAGTCTAATCTATCGCATAATATCTTACTATTGAAAGATAACTGCAGATTTTTGCGCTAAATTTTAACATAATACAATAATATAAGTATTAGAATGTCGCTTTAATTATAGCAACTTCTTTCTTTTCTTTTCGTTCACTCTGAATCATTCTGCCAGGGAGATTAAGATGCATGAATGTTAGTCAAAGTTGAACATAGTTGTAGGCAAGAAAAGTGAACGAAAACATAAAAAACGCCATCAAATGGCGGCTGATAACATAGTGTGTGCAGGCTCCTCATCAACCGGTGATAGATAATTAACATGATGCAACGTAACAGGTTCCAGATAATATTAGATTGAAAGCAAAAGTAACGGAAGGACGTTACCAGATCGACATATTGAAATATTCATGAGTCATTAGAAAAGTACTTATAAGGAGATGTCAATTTTACAACACTTATCAATTACTTTCTGATGTGTAATTAAATAAAATCAGTTAAAAAAAGAGATGTGTGTACTTATCTAAACGAAGCACAAGTTGTCTCCTATTTACATATCTATTTAGCCGCTATATACGTAATAGTAATTGCATATGTTTCCAATATCGATTATAGTTGACAGTTGACAGTTGCTGTTGACATTTGCAAGCTGCGCGCGTTTACTTCCGTTGCATGTTGCGCACGCCGCTATTGTTACATGCCACTATTTTCTTCTCAGCGCGCTAAAAGAAGTATAACTTCAAAAACAAATAATAAAGTATAAGGGAACAAGTAAAAGAAAATAGCACAGTCTTAAGGGTGTTGTCTTCATAGATCGCAACAAATGTGGATCTTAAAACAGCTACAATCTGTAAGTTTTAAATTTTTCGTATAAAGTTGCAACACCTATACCACTCGGTTAGTAGGTCAATTAGCAACCATATACATGGTCAAATTACATTCACAATGAGGAGATTAATCAAACAATTACTAGAAGCGACTTAAGGGTGTGAAACGGCTAATCGTTGGCACTTGCCATTTTTACCATTCCCCATGTGTATAATAAGGTTGGCAAATACTAATAATTTTTTAATGATTTATTAGTTATCGTCAAATTAGCATCTATTTCAATTATTCTCAATATAAATTACTTTTTATATCTATTATATAAACTATTCTTGTTATATTCCATTATCATCATATTCTTTAACCCCTGTTACTATAAATTATTATCAATCAATGATATTTTAAATGAAATAACAAATTCGCGTACATATACAATATGGTGGAGGTGCCGGGATTTTTAACAAACCGTACACTTTAACTCTCTGTAATTTAGGGGCCATTCTTTGTAACGAAAAGCGAATATTATAGGTAAGTGGAAGAAGAATTTGCATTAATACGTATAATAGAAAAAAGGGATAGAGAAAATGAAAGTACTGGACTGATCTTCTTTGTTTCAGTTTAAAACATAAAAATTGTTATAAAATCTTTGTGTTTTTATTTGAACCCTATAAAATTGTAAAACCATGTTTTTTTATTTTTTTAACGAATGAAAAACATCTGTTCTACTTTTATTTGTTAACTTTTATAAAATTGGTGCAAAATTGAGAACTGCTTGGGAAAATATGTACTTAAGTAAACAATATAATTTAAAGATGTGTCTGGATGACCAAAAGTATAATTTTCAAATGGTATTTCAGAAAGAATTAAATAGGAATTTGAATTAGAAAATAAGGTCTCGTTTTTTTTAGCAAAAAGCTTAAAAAGAAATAAAAATAAAATTAATAATTACTATTAGAAAACAGTTCTTTGGGTTAGAACTTTATTTTATAATAATAAACTTTCTATACCATTTCATAGTATAAATACTATAAATATTTTGCACATTTGACTCCGTTCATTTCTTTCGCTTACCTCTAGCGTATTGTGTGTTGTCTAGCATAATTACTCCGACCTTGACTTATCGTTAATTCAAACGCCTGGTTACTTAAAGTAGACAACCGCAAATACACAGTCGTTCGCAAGCAACCTAACTAACTTTCAGCTTCGTGACTCTGATTTATATAAAAGTATGAAACACCCATTGATTGATTAATGTTTCAAATTTACAACGTATTGAGGAATAAATATACAAAATGAAAATAGCATTTTTTGAACTCCTACCTTTCCCAGTCGCTGTCAAATTTCTTTTTCCTGTGGCACTGCCTGCAGCTGCACATCGTGTTTGTGTCGTATTCGCTACCATAATCAGACTTTGAAGAACGAAATGTACGGCTTTTAGATCTCTTATCAGTTAAAATAACTGCCCATGTTCTATGGAGAAAGAAAAATGCCCTTCCGCTGCTACCGGTACTTGCGGTACTTCGGTTGTCTTTTTGGTAATTTCTATTCAGAATGGTACTGAAGCTTTTTCCCATGGTGGTGTATTAGATTGAAAATAACATGGATCTGCAAAAGAAGTATATGTGATTAAAAGTATAATACGATCAAAGGGAAAATAGTGGACTTACACGGAGAAAATGAAAAACGAAAATTTACCTAAATATTAAGATGATATTTACAATTTATCCCACTAGCCCGTTGCTTCGTAAGCGAAAATAGTAAAAATTACAATTTGGACCCGAATTTGTAAAAATAAAATCGCTGCAGAAATAAATTTACTAGGTATTTTAATTGATATTACAAATTCAATTGTAATAACTAAGAAACTTGAAATAATTTTTAAAAATATGTCAAAATTGAGATTATTACAAGTTACCTAATAAATTCTACTATTTCTACGGCATATTCATTTATAATCGAAAATTGTAATTTTTGCTTTGTCATAAAAATTTAGTTTTCTCCGTGTAGTCGGTAATGTTTTTATTTTTATTATTTTTTAAAAGAATCCATAACAATACCCGTAATGAACATATACGAAACTGGATTTCTGAATTCTAACCGCATACTATTGATGATTATCACCATGATGGATCATGGTGGCGTCAAAAGTATTCGACGTTTCGTCTCCATCATTTTATATCAATGTTGGAGATTCAGTATCGACAACACGAATTTAGTGAAGATGAACCTTCCGGTGCGATTAGAATCTGGAAATCGAGCTTCTTTAGACGATAAGCGTGAAAGCCTAAATCAATTTTTAATTAATACAAACTTGATGGTATTAAAAGTAACTGAGGCTAGTTAGCTGGAAATAGCTAGATGTTTTACTAAAAACGAAAAGGTTCTACATTAATTTCTTGAGCAACAATTATCATTGATGAAAATTCATTTTTATTTTTAATTTTCCCCGTTACAAATTACCTCAAATTAAAGGAAAATTGTTGCTGTTCCGGGAATCGAACCCGGGATCTTTGGCTTTACGCACCAATGGCTCTGATCACTAAGCTATGAGAGGTGACAACAGCAACAGCGATAAACAGTACTTATTAGTCCACAAATCTGTCGAACTAAGTAACTATATTAATACTATTTGAACCATTTTGACATTTAATAGGGGTTGATATTATTAATGAAAATTCATTTTTATTTTTAATTTTCCCACTACAAATTACTCAAATTAAAGGAAAATTGTTATAATTGAATTAACATTAATTTTAATAAAATTAAACCTGACACTTTATTTACTTGATCTATTAAATTATAATAATTACTTAATCTCAGAATCAATTAAATCACAATTAATTTCGACTATGGACAGGACGGGTGCCGATTATATCCTTTTGTTTTCGTTATATATTCATAATAAGTGATTTATTGGGTAATAGTTCGGCTTGGCTTCAAGCTTCAATAGAAATATTGTTAAATTTATATGGTCAAAGAATGGTTAAAATTAGGGATGCACAGGATAGTGATTTTACTATCCCGATAGCCGGGTACCTAGCAGTAGCTGTTCCACTTCGGTTTATAAAAAAAAATAAACACAAGAACTATATCAAATTAACAAATTATACAAATGTAATTAATAATATAATTAATACAAATTAGGTCAAACGATCTATCCCAATACCATCTTAATTACCAATTTTTATTAGCTAGGTTGTTAGTTATTACATTATTATTTCTGGTGTTTGTTTTATCTGTTTTTACTGCTACAATTACCCGGTACTACCGGGTACGCGCCGACATTATTCGGTACCCGGACGGATCCTAAAAGGTGTCGGATACAAACCGAGTAACCGACCCATCTTCAGTTTAAGATTTTACACACTGGTAAAGGATACACCAGATAACCTAACCAAACAAGTTCAGAGACTATGCAGATACTGATTACACTGTAGTTTGTAAATGACTAGGCGCGGTTAACATGAGTAAAATAATTATCAGAAACAGTTAACAACATTAGATAGTTTTGTAATAAATAATACTGCACCTGTTGAGTCAGGCTTTCTAGTGAGGAATATGTAGAAAACTTATTTTTAAGTAGAAGACCAAAGAAAAAAAGTACTTATGCAACTTTGTAACTTACTTTTATCATTGTCTTATCAAAAATCTGAAATTACCGGACAATAATAATTGTTCTGGACACATCAATCCAAGACAAATAAATAATGAATTGTAAAGTAAGTTGTAGCAGTTTACGGTTTTAGAGGAATTTTGATTGCTTCGCTATAAAATATTACACCTACATCATTTTACAGAATACAATAAAAATCATTATTATCATCATCGACACGCATCTCTACTCTTTCCTATCCTGAGCGAATCTTCCCATTTCCCAAATACTAGATCCCCTATTTGTGGTTTAATCTAGGCCTTCCTTTACCCCTCTTAATTAAATCCTATTTCTGCTTCCAATATGTTTCTAGCTAGCCCTTCATCCCTAAAAAGGTGTCCTACGTAGTCTGTTCTCCTACCTTTTCTAGTAGGTACCTCTTCATTTCTAACGTTTTCGATAATCAATTAATAATTCCCCAGCTCTATAATATAATTACAGATATTTTTATTTTCATAATCTTTATTGAGTAATATACATAGACCTAAATCTGCAACGCCATTCACATTTTAATTTAATGATAAAAAACGACTTAAACAATGGCAACCAATAGAATTCCGATAGATTCTACTGTTTAGAAATTGCAACACGTACTACACTGCACAGTTAATAGGAAGCCATAAAAACGATGTTTTTATTTGGATTTTCCGTTATTTACATCCTTTGATGTTTGACAATTTTTGCAAGAAAATCACAACCATGATTACTGTTACAGTTACATTATAAACACCTAAGTAGATTATTCACTCTTATCCTTGATATGGTTGCACATTGCAGTTAATATTATACTAATTGAAGGCATTAGACATTAGACATCTGTTAAATATTTACGTAAACCGCATATGCTAACAAGTAAAATGACAACAAAAAAAGAGACAAAAATTCAAAACTGAACAACATTTGTTTCTAGTTTATTTTTTATTTGTATAAATAAATTCTTGTTACTGTATAAGTAATTAAATGCTTGAACAATAATTTAAGGACGGTTTCGTATATTTGAATAGTGCCTTAGATTGAATCAATTACATTTTTGATATTATCATTAATAACGTATTAATTATAATAATTAGCAGATGTGCTAAGCCACAAGTAGGCCTTTATTTTTTACAAAAACGCTTTTTATCAAAAATGAAAGAAATAATAATTATTTTTATGGGTTCTTTTATCAAGAAAATCGAACATATTCAGGCTTTTAGTAGAATATGTTCCTTTAATCCTATTTTTAAGTGTCCACTACATTGTCCTACAGTCCGGTCTTTCGACTTATATTTAAATCTAGTTTAATTAATTTATCTACAAAATACGTTGTTAAAACCCTAACGATTCGACATTTTTCATCTTTCTGTAATTAGGTATAATTATGTTATTCAAGCAATTAATATTAAATGTAATTTTCATTACTTATTTACTTTTACAAAACAGTATAGAAAGTGATTGGCCTAATACCGTCGTTAATATAAAAAATTATTTGGTTAAGTGCAATTGGTAATTATTTCGCTCTGCACCTAATAATATATTTAAGTGGAACACGTACATTGAATTTGAATTTGTTAATTACGACAAACTTTCGTAAGAAACTAGGAAACAATTAATAGCAATCTCTCGGTCTTTAAATAAGGAAAATGTGTCAATCGACAAACGAAGGTTTGGTTTCCTCTTTTCCGAACTTTCCGATGAACACTAACGCATACGAATCTCAGATAAGGATATTTTAAATATTAAACGCATTCGAAATTACGTTCAATCTTTATCGGCAATCGTTTCCATTTATACTTTTTCTGTTCTCGTTTATGCATTATGTGGGTGGTGGTTTTTTCATTGGTTCTTCTTTGTGATTCTGGTGAGTACGTTGTATTACGCTAATACAGAGATATAAATTAAAAGTAGTAGCTCGGATTTAATTATGTACTTTAAAAGGGAATGGGACTACTCTCAGGATATAATGCAGTGGTGAGCAAAGGCAAAGCTCACCCAAGTTTTGGTATTGGTCTTGCGAATTGTCTAGATGTTGATCATTTAATCTGATACTTTTTTTTTACTATTTTAATAATTCTTTCTTTCTGATATAATAATTGTCTTAAATGCTGAAATTCTCTGCCATACATGCGATAGTTGTGAGAGTTATGAAAACTTGAGAACTTACCCTTTCTCCCATGCATAAATTGACCTATGTTTGGGTCAATTTCTGAAGGCGACGTATTTAGTAAAGTATTATTGAAAAAAGTGCAACCCACATATAATTTATCGAGAACTTCGCCTTCCTAAAATGACCCAAAGAGTGATTGGATTTTTATTTAAATTTTACGCTAAAGTTTACATAGCAAAGTGCTTAAGATAGTTAAAAGCTTTCGTTCATTCAATAAAAAATTTATTGAGTACCTCGCCTTCTTAAAATAACCCATAAAGTTGAATTTTTATTTCAATTTTACGTTAAAGTTTGCATAATAAGGTGCTCAAGGTAGTCAAAAGCTTTCGTTCATTCAAATTATAATTTATCGGGAATTTCGCCTTCCTAAAGTGACTCAAAGAGTGATTGGATTTTTATTTCAATTTTACTTTAAGTTTGCATAATAAGGTGTTCAAGGTAGTCAAAAGCTTTCGTTCATTGAATGTATAATTTATTGAAAACTTCGCCTTCCTAAAATGACACTAAGAGTGATTGGATTTTTATTTAAATTTTACGCTAATGCTTACATAGTAAGATGCTTAAGATGGTCAAAATGTTTCGTTCGTTCAATAAATGATGTACTGAGTACTTCGCCTTCCTAAAATAACCCAAAAAGTGATTTAATGTTTATTCCAATTCTACGCTAAACTTTGCACAATAAGATGTTTACTGTTTAGAAAACATATGTACCTTTACAAGAAACTTTTAAAAATTGAAATACCTTAAGTAGAAAGTCTAGTTGTTTATTGTGTGTGTTTAAAACAGCGAGCTCTTCAAGGCAGCAAAGAGCATAAATGTTAGTTGTATACATATATGTATAAACGATTAACAGAGAAATGTCACAGCACTTTCAGGCTTGTGATAATTACTTTGGCATTCATACTAACTTATGAAAGCTTTTCTACATATCTGAATTTGCATTATTTAGCTATGGGAATCATTAAGTAAGTTCTATAAATTATTTATAAGGAGAGACAGGCAATTTTCAAGATGAATCGATGTAATAATTCACAACAATTATTAGATACAACGTTTCTTCATATGGTATTTGTAAATGGTTACAAAATACTGTAAACAATTGTGCTTTCAAACTGTTGTACGAATCATTCTACGAATACACTATGTCTGGTGAGTACCTACCCCTGAAAAATTAAGGGAAAAGAAGGTACATGATAAAGAAGTAGAGTGAGCCATCTCGCACCACTCGCACCGTATTAACCTTGCCAAAGGTCAAATTGATTGATGTTTGCTTGATATTTCAACACTGAATTTATTTTTGTATTTTATGGTAATAGTTTGCCAATCGAACGCTTACGAGTGCAGACAATTACTAATCATTACGTACAACTGACTTGTCTACGTATCAGCTGTTTCCGAAGGTCTCGAATAGGTATGTGTGTTTCGTGGAAAGCGCATATGGTTACAAGGTAATTGTTCCCAATCGTTCACGGATCGTTAACTGGGGTATCTTTTCTACACAATCTCCTACACCGTGGTACTATGATGAGATGCACATTACGATACCTCCAGATGTTGCATTTCAAATGATAAATATCCCTACCTCAAAAATAAAAAAAGACCCCTTGCAGGATCACTTCGTTATTTGTTTATCTGCCTGTCAAGACTGTTTTCCGTAGAAACGCGTACAAGTATCAAGTTGAAGTAATATCGAATATTAAAGCCTGCAATCCCCTTCAGCTATTATGTAATCAAACTTCTAAATCAACGCAATCAATCGGTCGTTTATGTCGTTTTGACGCTGGCAAGGGAATCGAAACCTATAGGGCACGTCCCGTTGACGAGGATGATAAAATTTTGCAAGAAGCAATATCGTATAGCGCAAGTAAAGGGAATAACCCGAAAACCGTAAATTTATAGTTGCACTACAAAATAAATAATTTTTTAATTGTAGTATTGTAATTATACGCCTTTTGAAGGTAATTTTCCTACCGCAATCTTATCTTCCTAAGCATACCTGTCAAACTAGACGTTTACCAGAGAGTATCCTATCCCGTTAGTTTATAAACTAGCCAAGTACATATGTTAACTGTTGATTATATAAATATTCATTTCCCTTTTTAGATTAAAACGAAATAATTTCATCAATACTAACTACTATTATTAGGATTATTGGGTTCTAATCCTAACTTATATTATAAATTAATGCGAATGTAAGTTTGTTTGTTGTTTGGTACAATTTCACGGCTTAGCTACTCAGCCGATCATCATGACATTTTGTACAGACATTGTTAGGGTTACAGAAAGGGACATAGGGTACTTTTTATCCAGAAAAAATATTGTTCCCGAGGGAAAGAAAAATTAGTTTTATGTGGTCGTCGATGATTTTTGACACGTATTTAGGACATAAACGTGAGCGAAGCCGCAGATAAAATCATGAAATTTTGTTCACGCACTGTCAGGGGTACAGGAAACAGAGTGCCTTTTATGCAGAACAAAATACTGAAAAGATATACATATTTAGGATTTCAACGTGACCGAAGTCGCGGATAAAACCTAGCGTGTTTATAATTACTTTTGTTAAGTAGATACTTCTTTTGGTGCTACAAATGAAAACAAATTGACTACGTTAAGCGAGATGAATTTAGTGTTATGTGTACTTCGTTTACTTTCTGTAGCGATGTGACCTTCAGTTTGACCGGCGCAAAGTAGAAAAGAACAGCACCAGGCCAGAAAAGGAAGGAGACAACTCTCGGCCAAACTCTTAACCGGCGAGGAGCGTATAATCCGTACAGTACTGCACGGAAAAAATGACCATTTTATCCACTACAATTGTTTTGCTCAAATGTGCTGTTATTGGTACCATTTACTATTGAAAATATCAACGAGATGTTTATTTATATTTGAAGAAATATTAAAGACTTTAACGCTTGTTTTCGACTCGCACTATTATTCATGATTGAACAAAACTTTTGGCAGGTACTGTACGAAAAAGTATGTTTAATGAACAAGAGTCGAGTGTATAATGACCTTTTTTCTCCCTACCTACGATTTTGCCAGCGCGCATCCAAGACATTGAAAGGGTCACATCGCTAGAAAAAGTAAATGAAGTATATCTAGCGAACGAATATTTTGAATTTTTTATTTGGCATATCTTGAACATGAACATAGTATAGTACATACTTCATTAATCTTTCAGTAATTATTATGAAGTTTATAAGCCGCCACAGAATCCTATATCGTGTGTGCTTCTGATTTGACCTTTATTTTATCTTTAACGCATTTGAAGTAACTTCCCTAGTTAAATTAGTCCACTGATGGTTGATTCTGCGGAACGAAACGACAATAGGCGGAAGTAATTCTATACTTTAATTAAATTTGTAAAAAGGTAAAAGAAAAGACCATTTGATGATACCAAACGGCTTAAAAGCTAATTACTAGTTTACAGTCCAACTTTAATTGCTTTTAAATGTTTTACTGTTTGCAGTGTTTTCATTGAGCTGCTACAGATGCAATTCAACCGGTTATAATGGGAACGACTGCATTGACCCCATTAACAAGAATACTTTTAGACCAGAAGATTGTTCTAATACAGCCGTACAGGACTCGTTTTGGGACAGGTGGAACATCTTCTCCAGAATAATAGATAATACCACCGATACCCAAGGGACGCAGAAGAAAGAAATGGAAAGATTCTTTTGGCCGAATGCTACAAAATTCGATTGGAATAGATGGAATATTTTCTCGAAACTGATTGACAACTACACTGATGAAGTTAGTGATACAGATAAAGAACAAATGGGGAAGTTTTTCTGGCCGAATGCTCAGAATTTTGACTGGAACAGATGGAAAACGTTTTCCAATTTGGTGGAAAGCTTCAACGACACTTATGCTACTGAAGCAAGGGACATGGAAAGGTTCTTTTGGCTCAAAAGAGGAAACTCACGTCGTTATCAGTGTGTTACAGTGGAGAAGCTTTGTAAGTTATTATCTAAACGTTTTGTTTCTAACACATGACGTCTTATTTTTGAAGCTTATTCCATTTAAGCTTACTCATTTTTGACATTTTTTACATTATTAACTTATAAGTTAAAAACAAAATAAGGTAAAAGTCTAGATGATGGCCCCCACCCCCGAGTGGGATCGAAACAGGAGGTCTCCCCCACCACTGTACCATAAAAAGTTCGTGGCGGTCTCACCTTCATAAAAAGTTTTGAGGGTTAGATGGGGGTGAGGGTAGGGGGATCGAAAGAGGGTAAGGGGGATCGAAAGAGGGTGGTTGCCTGAGTAAAACCCCATAAAAAATTTGCGGCGGTCTCACCCCCATAAACAGTTATGGGGGTTGAAAGTTGATGATTTTGACAATTTTCATACACTATAGTTCAAATAAAATTCAATAAAATAATTATTTTCAAGCGGGTGGAGGTGGGGGATCGAAAGAGGGTGGTCACTTGAACAAAACCCGATAACCTAACCTAACCTAACCTATTGATAAAGATATTTAAATAATGTTTTATATAACTTTCTCAATATTTTTATGTATTTTTCATTAGTTTTACCTTTGAATATTGTTTAAGAATGACTATATAAATATTTACATGCCTAGAAATGTATAAAAATTGGCATATTTATTAACTTTGAACCCCCATAACTTATTATGCGGGTGAGACCGCCACGAACTTTTTATGGTACAGTGGTGGGGGAGACCTCCTCTTTCGATCCCCTCCACCCCTCCCCGAAGGGGGTAGGGGCCCTCATCTAGACCTTTACCCAAAATAAGAACAATTTTTCCGGCATGCTAGTTTTATCCTTTATTATTATGTACATATTGTATGCATATAAATTGTCTTAAAAATACTTTTGTTTCTATTATCTGATGGTAAAGTATTCCTGCTTTTGATTTTTTGATCTTGCATTTCTGGCATCTTGCACATCTTCAAACTAATAACGACTTTAGCAAATATTTTAATATTTGTTGCTATGACATTGCTGCTAGTTATGTGCTAAAAGCAGGCAATCGTTTAAAATGTCTATTTGTATGTTTTTCAGATGGTAATACAAGAACAGTTGAGAGATACTGCAATGTGAAGAATAAATTTACAAACCATTGTACGAGATTATCGAATCAAGCGGGTACAGGAAGTTATGCTGTAACACAATGTTTGCTTTGCGAATATGATGGTTGTAACTCATCAGTTAGTTACACTCTTTCGTTTACATTGGGATTTTTTGTTCTATTCATTTGTGCTGTTGTTTATTAAGTTTGTTTCGCATATTAATCTATACGAATGTATTAGTAATTATTCCATGATGTAAATAAAATTGAAAAGCTTTTTTAACAATTTTGACTTTACAGGGGTTTCAAAAATATTGTAAGTTATGTTTTGTTTTTATTTTTTTAATTAAAAGAATGTATTTTTCTATGTGACCCTTTTTTTTAAATATATAGAAAAAAAAGGATAAACAGCACAGAAGAATAACGATTTTGGGTGTTCTTTAAAGTAATTGTATTTAATTTTATTTTGGGACATACAAATATCTTCTAAAGGAATTATGATAATAATATTAAAATGAAGGGATTCGTATCCTAGAAATAGTAGATATGCTCCTTAAGTTTTCTGAAATCGTTAAAAAATCTAATATAATTATTATGTGCCTAACTGACTTCTAGAAAAGCAGCACAACAAATATCAAAATAATCAAGTTCTTTTAGCTAAGCAATACATTCTTGTTTCTTGTATATGAGTTTCC